CCCTGTAGCCCCAGCTGTCCTGGAACTCACTATGTAGACCAGGCTGGCCTTGAACTCACAGAGATCCACCTGCCTCTGCCTCCCACGTGCTGGGACTACAGGCGTGCGCCACCACGCCCGGCTTTAGGCGCTCTTAAAAAAATATGTGTGTGTGTGTGTGTGTGTGTGTGTGTGTGTATAAAGTGTTTTGCCTGCATGTAAGCTAGTGCACCCATCTCATGCAATGCCCGTGAAAGCCAGAAGAGGGTGTTGGAGCTCTTGTAACTGGAGTTAGAAATGTTTGTTAGTTGTCATGTGGGTGCTGAGAACCAAACCCAGGTCCTCAGCAAGAGCAGACAATGCTCTTAATCACTGAGCTTTCTCTCTAGCTCCCAAAGCTAATTCTTCATTGGGAATGTAGATGACATTACTTTTAAATTTCACTTTAGGTCCCTCTGCTTGCTTTAATAATACCTGCATTTTGTAGTGCTGGTGGTGAAACCCAGGGACTTGCACAGGCTATGCAGTATGTATTCTCCCACTGAGACTGACCTGCTGTCAAACACCTAGTTTTCAAACTGTTTTGAGAGCTGATGACTTAGACTGGTGAACTTTGAAGCATAAATCATTGGAGAAAGGCTGGGTTGCTTAACTTACTGGCTTATGTTAGAAGGGAGGCTTAGGAAAACTGAAAATGAAACAAAACCTGTTCTTTGCACTACACTTTAAAAATTGCTTCCATTACCATTTTTATTAATTTCTCTTAACTACCTGTGAAATCAGTGTATTACCTCTATTTTATACCGTAAGAATCTGAGACTTCGAAGGCAAGTCTTCGGCAGTTCTAAAAGCTGAGCGCCAGGCATCTAGGCTTTTTCCATCTTTTTCTGCCATAATTCACACTCAGTTCTTTCTCAAGAATTTCCTTTTCCTTCTTCCCTTCAATTTTGTCCAGTAAAATATAAGGATCTGCTTTGGTTCACACAGTTCACTTGAGTCCTTATGTTGGTATTTAATGGTTTTTCTACAAGTTAATGGAAGAGGGTGGAAAATGAAGAATGCCCCCTGGAGGGAGCAGGTCAGAGTCTTCTCATAAAGAATGAGAGTAACGATAGCACTGTTTCATCCCCAGAAACAATGGAAATAGAAAAAACGTGAGAAAAACTGGGCAGTGAAGCAAGGCTAGTGAATTCCTTTGTAACAGATTTTCTCTTCTCATCTTGGCTGAATGGTTTTTCTGAGAGTCAAGAGAGCTAAAACAATCCAAGAATAGAGAGAGGAGGTTCTTTGCACTAAAACATGGCCCTTTGTCCTCACTAATGGTTCCTAGGCAGTGACAAAATGCCAGGTCTTTGGTTGAGGGGAACTAAGTGACTGAGGGTAGTGACAGAAGATTGCTTAACATGGGTTGGGGATGATCTTTTCCAACCATCACTCCCAGTGAAAAGAAAGACCCTTGTGTCATGGAAAAGGCTTCCGACATCTTCCCAGAATGACTTCCTAGTCCCTGCAAGAGCAATTGCACTTGCAGGCAGACCTGTATTTGCCAAAAAGATAGTCTCAAAATTTTGAAACCAAATTCTAATGTAAATGAGATAACACAACAGGGTAAAAGCATCTTGGGCTTATGTCAGCAAATTTCCCAATGTATATGATTTCAAACACAAATATTTTGGAAAGCAAATAATTCATTTTCACATGCACCTTAGTGGAAGCATGCTCCCTAGGGTCCCACCTTGAAAATGAAAATGAAGTGGTTTTATTGATTTGTCCTTTCACAATAAAAGTAGTATGTTATTTTCTGGAGCTGCTTGAGGCTAGATATACATTCACCTAGCATTTTCAGTAGAATGAGCTATCCAAAGATCATAATAAATGATTACTCTTGGCTTACTCCTCAATGTTTTTAATATGTTATATCATATCACGTTATAAATTCAGTTTTAAATTATTTCACCAGTGATTCAAAAATTCTTTTGTAGAATTCTTAAGTGGGCCCCGTTTTCAGCCTCTCAAGTAACTAAATTCTTTTTTTCTTATTTTTGTTTGTTTTTGAGAAGGGTCTTCCTGTAGCCCCAGCTGGACTGGAACTTGCTATGTAGACCAGGCTGGCCTCGATCTCTCAGAGATCTGCCTGCCTCTTTCTCCTGAGCACTGGGATTAAAGGCATATGCCAGCACCTAGGCCATTTTTTTTTTTTTAATGTGTCTGCATGCATGTAAGTTCACCCATGTCATACAATGCCTGTTGTAGGTCAGAAGAGGGCATCAGATTCCTTGGAACTGGCGTTACAGATGATTCTTAGCAGTCATGTGAGTTCTGAGAACTAAGCCTAGGTCTTCTGCAAGAACAACCAGTGCTCTTGATCACTGAGCCGTCTCTCAAATCTCTTTCTTAGTAAACAGTGCAGTAATAAGCATGAATGCACAAGTATCTTTGTGACATGTTGGCTTAGAATCTTTCAAGTCTATACCCAGGAGTGACATGGTGGAGCTGGGTGATACAACAGTTCTATTTCGGGTTTTTGGTTGCGGGGGGTTGTTTGTTTTGTTTTTTGAGACAGGGTTTCTCTGTAGCCCCAGCTGACCTGGAACTCACTACGTAGACCTCACTATATAGAACTCACTACGTAGATGAAGGCTGGCCTCCATCTCACAGCGATCTGCCTGCCTCTGCCTCTGCCTCTGCCTCTTGAGTACTGGGATTGAAGGAGCACAGCTTATTTTTGGCTTTTCTGAGGAACCCCATATTGATTTCCATAGTGTCTGTACCTGTTAATATT